AATATTTATTTCAGTTAAATTTGAATTATTAAAAAAGGTATCCGTAAAAATATTGGCGCCCCTTAATATATTCCAAGGCTATCGCCCCTCCAAACCACCTCTTAAATACGGTCCTGATTACAATTATAGATAAGGAAAGTGCATTATAGAATTTAGCGTGTARTGAATTATTGGTATAATACAGTCGTTGTAATARTAATACCTATGCATAGAAACGTGTTACAAAYATTTCAAATTCAAACACWATATAGGTTATCTCGGGAATAAATTTACTAATTTATTAATTATTATTAAATATTAATTTGAAATTAAAAAAAAATTGTAATAAGGATTTAAACAAGTTAGAAAAATCACTCTGAGCGTGCTAAATTTCCGATTTCTAAACGTCTTTTAATATAACCTATTAATTTCATATAGGCATGTACAATTTTAAAAAGAATTTGGTAACCTGTATATTTAAGTACRTATCTGTTTAATATTGACTTGTACGAATTTAATTTGAACAGAGCAGTTGTCAGTTATAATTAATGCTTAATAAGTAGTTATAAAGATATAATATGATATAAGAACAATCGTAGACTGCGGACAATAAATAATATATAGAATGCGCTCAATAAAGTTTCCTTTTTGGGTAAAAGTGTCATCATCATGTGGATTCCCGGACATTCAGCTGTATACTAGGAAACGAAACTACCGACGAACAAGCGTCATTAGGCGTTAACGATAACGAAACCGTTTTAATAAACCAAATGTCTTACGACGACACGAAAAATGTCATAAATGCATATACAATAAATAAAGGGTTAAGTATCTGGAATACGCTGAATACCAAACTAAATGAAATCAAAAGAGATACCTATCGTTGGGTAAATCCAAGGCTTAACCAAAAAGAAGATACAGTACTCAATAGACTTCGCATTGGAGACACACCAAAATCACACACGGATTMCTGATGGCAAGAGAGGAGCCTCCCATTTGTCAAACCTGTGGAACTATATGTTAACCGTCAACACATAATTGCCGACTGTTTATTGTACAYCCAAGAATGAGTGGAGCACAGGATATCAAAGAACCTGGACTCCGCACTCGATCCAAATCCTAAAAATAACTTAGATTTATTGAATTTTTAAAACATTCCAAATTGTACAATCATATGTAAAAAACATCCCATTTTATTTGTAACTCATCTTTCTAAATATCGTTGTAAACACTTATTACTGTATATCTTTTAACTATCTGTAACTAATGGCCTTTGCTGTCGATGTTAGAAAATACACGAATAGTGAATCGTTGTTTTAACTTTGGAATGGGTAAACTCCTCCGAGTCCCCCTCCCCCCATATTA